CATATATGGCCGAAAGGTAAATGAAAAATATGCTTAATGTGATTAGCCGTCTGGAATTGTAAATGAAAACCATAATGAGATATTGCTTCACCCTTACTAGGATGGCCATGATCAAAAAGGAAGACAATAACAAGTGTTGGCAAGGATGTAGAGAAACTGGAACCCTCTCCATTGCTGGTGGGAATGTAATATGGTGTGATCACTTTGGAGTACAGTTTCGTTTCTCATGAAGTTAAAGAGAATTACCATATAACCCAAGGATTCTGCTTGCTAGGTACATGTGCAGTAGAACAAAAATGTACCCCCACACAAATTGCACATAAATGTTCCCAGCAATAGCACTCACAATAGCCCCAAATTAGAAACAACCCAAATGGTTACCAATTCATGTATGGATAAATAAAATGTGTTATACCATTCAGTTACTTATAATGATTGAAGTAACTGGGTATGGTGGCACATGCTTGTAATCCCAGTATTTCAGAAGGCTGAGGCAGAAGAATCTCAAGTTCAAGGTCAGCCTCAGCAACTTAGTGAGACCTTCAGCCACTTGGTGAAACCTACCCCAAAATAAAAAATTAAAAGGGGTGGGGATGTATCTCAGTGGACGCTAGGGTTCAATCCCTAGAACAACAACAACAAAGATTAAAGTGATCTATGCTACAAGATGGATGAAAGAAACTAGTTACCAAAACTTCACAAATGGCAAATCTACAGATAGAAAATAAGTTAGTGGTTGTCAATGGCTGGGAGATATAAAGGGTATGGAGTTTCTTTTGAGGGTGATAAAAATACTTAGAATTAATAGTAATAATCATTGTCCAATCTTATAAATAAAATAAAAATCATTCAACTTTAAACTTAAAAAGGCAGAATTTTATGATATATAAATTATATCTCAATACAGGTGATATAACAAATTGATATTAATTCAAATGTATTGCTATTATAGTTTTATTTTTAATCTCTTTGGATTTAATTGTCATATAAGACAATTAAAAGAGCTATTTGCATTAGGTGCTTATACCTGGCTTTATAGGTGCATATATTTAAATAATATCACAATTCAAATAATATGTCAATACTTAATTTTGGTCCATTATCCTAAAACTCATACCCCGTTTTGATCAGCAAACTAATCGGGAAGATCAGAACCCTAAGGCAGTTACTAAACTTTTCTGTTATCTCTGATCAACATTAGAGACTTTAAATTAGAATAAGAGTTAGAAATGAGTTTCAACAGTAACAATAGTGGTTGGCTAACCAGAATCATGAAAATACAAATGGATTCTCACTTGGGAGATCAGTGGCATCTAAGATATTTGAATCGGCTTAATATTCTAAAGACACCACCCTGACATTATCAGGCATGACAATTTAAGGCGTGCAACATGAACTGTATCTGTATGATGTTTGTCAAGACCTTGGATTCTGGTTGCCTGATGCCTGTTGAAAGGGTAACTGACAACGGGTGTTAGCAGACTGTATCTCTAAAGGTCCAGTAGTAGATAATTTAGGCTTTGTGGGTCATATTGCCTGTTCAGTTCTGTCACTGGGGCGTGAAAGCAGCCAGAGACCACACATAAGCAAATAAATATGGCTAGGTTCCAATAAAACTTTATTAACAAAAGCAGGTGGTAGGCCGTCACTGGTTAGTGACTGCTCTAGAACACAGAGTCTGCATCATGTAAGGTAGGAGGCTACATCACCTAAAAGGACAGGAGGCGTCAACAAACCCACAGGTTATGTCCTTGTTAACTGATACACATCTGTGCAAGAAATGCCCAAGTCTGGCTTGCTCCATCATCCGATCATAAGATTGCAAAGTAGCAGCTAATCCTCACCCACCTCAACCTCTTGGGCAACTACCATTACCTACCAGAAAGAACCTCACAGTTGTTTATTATCAAATTAACAGATCACAAAGTTACCTCATTGTTTCTTTAATGGCCCTACCATTTTGATGGAATAAAAATTAAACTTGGGATAAGAAAATTAGAGGGCATCAGATAAAAAGCACATGTAAAGACAGAGCAGGGAAACAGAATACCAGAAGATTCTAAAGACCTGGGCACCAGACCCAGTTTCCAGAGCCCAGGTGGCTTTCTCCAGGTGGACTTAAAAAGTAACTTGAAAAGGACTATAATTCATGGCACTGGAGGGAAGCAGCTATCTATTGTGACCAACCCCAAACCAACCATCTGAGATTGTAAAATTAGTTTCCTTGATTTTCCAAATTTGTTTTGAAACTGTTGAACATTCCCCAGTAGAAATTCCCTAAACCCACGGAGCCTTGGAGGTGAGCAGACCCTAGATAAAGTTCCACTTGAAAGCTTCAGCACTCCCTTGGGAGAGTTAACCCACGGAGGCCATCTCTGTTTATCCTTGTGCTTTAGCAGTCCACTAGAAAACTCCATTTCATTGCCCACTGCCAGTTGTTACTTCTCCCATCAATTCATCCTTTGAGAAATGTTCTGTTGGCATTATAATTGACTATTGTGTGAACTTTCTATTTACAGAAGGCCTCAGGACAGAGTGTCTCAAACTTTGGTGACTCAAACTTTGGGATACTTGGGGGGGGGGAGAGTGCATGTGGGCCCTGCAATCTGCATTTGTAACAACTTTCCCTGTGTGATGCTGCTGCAGGTGCTCTAAGAAACACTTGCCCTTAGTGGCCTAGCATATCATACTCAAGCTACACTACTGCCCTCGGAACCTGGAGGCCTGTCCACATCCAGGAGAGAGAGGCCAACACATTACAACCACTTTGCTATCAGCAGCAGATAAATAAACCATATAGAACTGACAACAGACTTTCAAGTACCAGTAACATAATACCCACCCACCAAAGTAAAAACAAAAATCTACCAGTCTATGCTTTTTAAGTTAGGTAGACAAGGTAGCCTTCATTCCATTCTACTGCAAATCTGCTGTGTACCAAGTGTTGTGCAAGACATTGGGCACTGTATCAGAGACGATCAGAACAGCAAAATAGACAAGACCCCTGATTTTACCTGTGACCAGGAGCAATAAAACCTCGCCACAGGTACTCTATAAGTCAGCTAGATCCGCAGACATAGATGTTAGATTGGAATGGAAGACACAAAAGGCTCCAAAAGAGATTTAACTTAAACCCTTAGGTGTGAGATCAGGAAATAAAAGGGTGTCAGAAATGCACAACAGCTCTTCTGCTCAGGCCTAACCCAGGCGAAAAGGAAGACAAACCAGGGGATCACAGGGCGCTATGTCTTAGGATTAAGAAATTAAACCATATAATAACTCCAGGTTCAAAGAACTTACACAGAAAGGCCCATGACCACTGGAGACAACATTTTAGATGGTACTGGAACTCAGGACTGCCCAAGGAGGTCTCAAGGCCCAATGGTTGGACCTGTTTTCCACCTGATAATGCCCATCAGCTATCCCTGCACAAGGCAATTCAAGCATCTTATGTTCTTGGGCTGCTGTGTGTGTGTGTGTGTGTGTGTGTGTGTGTGTGTGTGTATGCGCGGACACACCCACCCATGAGAGAGAGACAAGAGAAATGGACAGAAGCAGACAGGGCAGGAAGGGAGTGATGCAATGTCTATTAGTCAATGCAAACAGTCTAAAAGAAGAAAAATTGTCAGTTTATTCTTTTTTT